AAAAAACGATCATTTTAAGGTAAGCGTCAAGTACTACAAAAGTTATAGAAGTTGATATTTGTATTGTACCGTTGTTTAGCACCTAAACGCTATTCTAATTACTTAACTGTAACAGTCGCCAATGCGAATACTTACAAGAAATACTGTTTGACAGTTTTTGCTAGAAGGGTCTACGTCACCACTTTAAAGTGACAACAATGAAAAAATAAGTTGAAAGATAATCAAGCAATAAAGAAAGCAAGAACGAAACGACGAAGTGAAAAAAATTGGAAAGTGCATTCCTTATTTTTGAAAATCATTGAGCCTTCAGGAAAGGTACAGAGCAGAAGAATATCCGAAAAAATTCCTAACGGAAATTGTCATCTTCTTCTTTTGTCTCTTGCTCCGCTTCTCTTCGCTATTTTTCTCATTTTTCTTACAAAGAACCTTCAGTGACCTAAATTTTCTTCTTTTCTTCCTCTGTTGGGGAACGCTAAGCGGAAATTATCTGCGAGAATGACAACTTAAATAACTGCACTGTCTATTTAAAATGTAAATTTTAGCAAGCAATAAGCAACATCAAACACTGCTTTTTATAGATGAAGAGCAAACTATTATTTAAGAAAAGAAAGAATATGAGGACAATGCTGTGAGAAAAGTTGCTCTCTAGAAGAATCTCAGCAGTATTTAATCAAGTATAAATAACAAATCCTCTAAAGTGTTAGAATGAATAATAGTCAAAGTGACAATGAGATCTTAGGATGGAAATTCGATCGAACATAGGAGTGGATAAATTTCATACTGCACTTGTTTTGCTGTTCAGCAAAATTCAAACGTTTCTCTACTTCTATCACTGCAGAAATTGTACCATTCTTCATTTGCATTCCCATTCCGTGTTCTCTCGTCTCAAACTTTTCATGAAATGGTGTCTAATTGGCAATTTTTTGCAGACTACAGCATTAGAAAGAAGTTTCTAGTATTGCAGATAGTCACGACATTCTGTGCTTCACAAAAATGGTCGTCAAAGTGCTTCTCACTTTTATATGCTAAATTAAGTTTTTAATCAAGGAGAAACTAAGGTAAAAAACAATACCTTTATTATAATGTTTTATTTTTTTTCTTTTTATTTGCTAGAAAAATAATAATATTTTCTAAAACAGCACTGATTTTAACAAGATTTGAAATCCTTCTATTTTTCTTTTTAAATTAAAAAAACTTAAAATAGAAGTGGCAGATGCTCCAAAATTGAATAAAAAAATATATCTTGGAAGAAGAGTAAGAAATATACTAAATTTTCTGATACTGGCGAATAGCTTAGAAAGACACACAGTAAGGCGCAAAAAACAATTTCCGAATTCGGACTCCCAAATAATTTGTTTCTTACTTTGGCTACTGAACCTGCTGACATAAGTGATCACACAAGATGATATTTAGAAAACTACTGAAACAATATTTTTTCCGCATTTTCTTTCTAGAAATTGCTGCTAAATTTTTTATGAAATTAAACGGCCTAGCAACAACTGATTTGTCAAATCAGTGAGCAAATTCTCTGAATAGGTTTGAAAAGCAAAGTTTCTGAGTTGCTAATATAGATACTAATATACTGGTAACGATCTTACTTCACCGATACCTTCAAACCAGTTTGAAGAGTAGCAATTTTTTTACCGTTAGAGGAAGAACGACCCTATTAGCTGCACAAAAGCAAATTAAATTCTTAGAAGTTTTGAATACTGTTGGTACAGTGTTAGTGCCAGCGCTAACAGCAGGACGCTCAGTAGCATTTACTTGATTTTACAAAGCATTCACAAAATTTCATGTTGTGTAGAATTTTAGCATTTATGTGAACAAAAGATGCAAAAACTTGTCTCTAATTTCGCTCATCAAACTTATATACTCGTGCACAAAATAATTTAAAAATTGCTTTAACATATTAAGCTATTATTAAGGCATCAGGGAAATCTCTACGAACAGAACATCAGCATATTAAAGCCACACATTAACTCAAACTTCAAGCACTAGCAAAGCATCTGGTCATTCAGATTAATTTTATTTTACTTATACTGTTTCAAATAACGATTACTCAAGACATTTACTAGTAAAAATTATAGTGTTAGAAGCACAAATAGCTTTCAAAGTGCTCTATTCTGTACAGTTGCTCAAATGCTTACAGATTTCTAAAATCATCTATAAATATTATTCGCTTTAACGGGTAACAAATTTTAAAGTTTTTAACTATTTCAAACTTGGTCAAACAGCATAATTTTTAATATAGTTTCTTTTGTTGTTCTCATTCTTTCCAGTCATATGAATTGCTGTTACAAAATAATCACTTAATTCAGTAAAAGAAGCTTTGTTGGCATCACAGCACAGCGCTGTATGATCAGCAGATTCCTGAAAATTCCCATTTCTAAAGAACTATACAAATCCTTACAATGAAATATGACTTCTTTGAGTCCGCTTTAAGTGAATGTAGTTTGAAAAAGTAGCAAAAATTTGTAACTTCAAAGCAACAGTAGAGATGAGCGAAATATTGATGTTTTATTTCTACAGCAAGATACCCATTCAATAATTTTAACGAGTGAAAAAAAAAAGACAAAAATAGTTATAAATAAGTTAAACTTTCAGCATTTATAAAGAGCCATATATTTATTCAAAAAAATATTTCAAAAGAACTTGCTATTTGTATTTATTTAACAGCAGAAACTTGAAGAATTAATTTTTATTAATAGAACAGCAACAACAAAATGGAAAAATGTTCTTTGCCAAAGCACAAAGTTTTGTCTTCTGAAAGGAAGAGTTGCTCATTCTACCTGACAATTCTCCAACACTGCCCTAATATTCTCTGCTGAACGATTTTTAGTTTCTGGTAAATAAAAGTACATATAAAATGCAGACAAAAGTAACGGTACTATGAATAACAAGAAACTGAACGGTCCCGCAATCTTCTGCAGTGGAAAATAAATAGTTGGGCAGATGAAACAGGAGATATACTGTGCGGATATGGACAAAGATTGAACACGTGCACGGCATGTTGGTCCAGTTAGTTCTGTACTGATGAACCATGCTAAAGGTCCAATGCCAACGCTAAACAATAATTTAATTTTTACTCTGTGCTTCTTAAAGTTGATTTACAGTGAAACTGAATTTTCTAGTTTGTAAACAGAGCAGAATCAAATAAAAACATAATAAATTACAGTAAAAATCTGTTACTCACTTTTTTTTATCTTTAACTGCAAAAATTTATTTTACTACAAAAGAACATCCAATTATTTTACGCTTGTAGCAGATCAAAACTATTAATCAAGGCAAAAAAAAAAGTTTTTGAACCTGAACACGATTAAGAAGATGTTGAAGAGTAACAGAAAAACATATCCCAGCCAAATAATCCTATAGTTTAGAAATGTCCATACCACAACCATCATTCCTGAGTTAACTCCAACTAAGCTCAACAAACTTCCTATTATTAGCGGTCGTCTTCCAATCTAAAATTCCGAAAAGTACGAATGCTTCGTCAGAAACAGCAAGTCATTTTTTGAAGCACTGACAGGTATCTAAATCTGAATACCTTTTCAATCGAATAAGAGCTCAAGATACACCCAACAGTACCGGAGAATGAAGATAGACAATTGGCTAAAGCAGCTCCATTTTGTGAGAAGCCTGTTTCAGCTAGCAAAAAAACACCAAAAAATGATGTTGCCATCACACCACTAAAGCTGACAGCAACATTCAGTACCACAGAGAGCAAAAGTGCCTGACGGACAGCCCTAAGTGGAATATCACATTAATACAACCAAAAACAAAGCTTTTTGTTGTTACTTGTTTTTGGTTTGAAAACTTTTTCTGCAAAAAGTTTTCAAACTATTAAATTAATAATAGTGGAACGGAAAACCACTGAAAGATAATTGAAAAGTATGATTTGGTGTGTGATATAACTAGCGACATCTAACTTGTCTTTGTAAAGTGTGCTCCACCCGGCAGTCTCCGTGTTACAGATTAATTCGTTCTTCAGCCTTGCCAATTCGTCACCAATTGAAGACTTATTATGTGAGTAAAGTGATAATGCATTTCTTGCATCCTCTTCGTTATTTTTTCTAAGAAAATATTGGGGACTTTCGACAACGCTTATGACCAGCAAAAACAGATGTAACAAGCAAGGAATTAGCTCTAAGTAGAAAAGAATAGGCCAATAGTTTTTGCATCCGAAAACTGTCGGCAAACCTAAAGCGGAAGCTACAGTAAAACCAATGTTTGTTGCAAGTCCAGCCATCGTACCCATAAGTCCTCTGCAGCTCACTGAAATTTTATTTCTTGTTCATTTAGGTTACACTTCTTCAATTCAGCTTCTTTTGTCACCATACTATATCTTGACAAATGTCAAAGTCAAAAACTGATAAAACGCAATGCATTAAGATTTCCAAGACTTACGAGGACTTATTTCGGTCAGAAATACCCCTTGGATTGTCGTAGACATGCCAACACATATACCCACCACAAGTCTTGACAAAATAAATACTTCTGCTGAATTGATAGGTTTTGAAAAAGATGCCATAAAAAGACCAACTATCATTGCCTAGATAATAATTGCATTCTCTTAGGATTATCGCTCAGAAGTTACAAAAGCAAAAAAACTAGTGAAACAAAAGTAACGTAATTTAGTTCAAAGACAGTAAAATCCTTTAGCATTCGTAACTGAACGCTACATATATTTGTAAGTTCCTTGTATTTGTTTTAATTATTTCTATAACCTCAAAAATAATAAATGCTTCATAAAAAACTGTAATTCTAAAGATAAATGAAATTTCTTACTAAGTTGGCAAACACAAATGACCATCGACAACCAAATCTTGTCATTAACTGCGGTATCACTGCGGCTCCAATAATTGCACCGATGAAAAGTATTCCAGCAACAGAAGAAAATAAAATTCGAAGAAAAATTTCAGAAATTTCTATTTGATAACGGCTAAAAAGTAATCTGCTAGGAGGAAAACTGTTAGTTACGGCAAAAAGACAAATACATCGATTTGAACGGTATTGTCTGCTACTCTATATGTTGCAGAAAACAGTGCCTTCTTTCTTCTTTATTAAAAAACTATATGTAGACAAATGGAACTCTCGCGATTAAATGAAAGAGAATAAAACAATATGAAATAAAAAAAGGCTAATAAAAAACATTTCAGTAGGGTATTAATACGAACCAACCTTTGAATAGAATCAACCATAAATTCCTGCAGAGTAGCAGCAAGCGGACTGATAAGCGATATTTGAAATCCAATATGGAAACCACCAGCAAGTACCGCACATATGCCGCTTAACAAAAGTCGAAATGTTGGTAGTTCTGAATTTCCTAAACCTCCTGCTTTCATGTTCTCGCAACTTTTTTGTTTGCAATCTGAAGTTTTGACTGTGGCCAACAATTCTACTGACTCGACTGCATTTTCATCTTTGTCTTTACTTTTTCGATTAGACAGAAGAGGCTTATGAGTTTCACCTGTAATGCGACTTTTACTATAAACTAACTATTTCTTTATATCTTGAAAAGCAGATGACTGTTTCTACGATTTTCTTTTTTTATTTCTGACTTCTTCCTTCTAAATCGATCGCATTACCTCTACTAATTGGAATTGTCATTTCCGAAAATGTCTAGCTGACTTCAGCTTAATGTTTTTAGCGATACGGATTGTTCTGCTGAAAGAAGTTCCGCACACTAGTGAATTAAGTTTGGAGGCTAAGCTTTTTTTTTTCTTTTTTTGACAGAGCCACAGAAGTTTGGAGAGAGGCACTATTTTTAGCTGTTCTTTATTTCATGTTCTCTAAGTTACTTTAATTTTCAAACGGAGTTAAAACCTTATAATCTGTCCGCTGCTTCGAAGTTGAACTAGGCGTGCATTTTACTACACTACAGTGTTAAAAAAAAAAAAAAGAAGAAAAACAGAAATTCTTGGTTGTTTGTTATGTCTGCAATAACTTCACAATTGCATAAAGTTTAGTACCAAATGAGACAGTGGCAAGAAAAATGTTAAGAATGTTAATAAGAAATTGTTAAGTTGATATAATATGTAATCTGCTTTGAAGAAGAGATACACAGCACCTTTAAATGCAATTTTCACGTCCGTAGACAGATTACTCTTGTTTTGTCGATTCAGGATGGGCAACGCTTTTTCTTATAAAGTGTTTTCACAGCAGTATTGAGACAACTACTCCTTTCCATTAGAGAAGAATAATACTTAACATTTTTAAAGAGATAAAATATCATTTAAAATTGTCTTGTACCGAAGCTGTCTTAAGGTGATATATTTAAATAAACAACAACGTACTGGGGCTGGTACCAGTTGCGTTTTGCAGAGGATTTTTATCGGATTCAACTCTTGCAGCTGTTTTTTCAATTTTTGGTCCAGCGATTCCAAAAATTTCGTCTTCGCCTTCTGCTAATCTTGCATTTTTTACCTAAACGTTTCCCTGACTACTTTTTGGCTTAAGCGTATTCTCGTTCAGAACTGTAGTAAGCAATAATTAATGAAAGCTTTGAAATGCATATGGTTTCTACAACGTATAAAGGAAATTTAAGGATTAGATAATTTTTCTGCCTTTTAAGAAGGAGCAAATAGAAGTAAAAAGGCTTGAATTCGCTTCTCACTTTTTAGACGATTATGATGATCAGTTATAAAACTTTACAGTATTTCTTCACCGTTTAGACTATAAAAAACTAACAAACTAAAAATTATTGTTACAATAAAAACTCAGTATTTTAGCAGCAACTCTAATTTGTTTGACAGAAAAAACAGAAATTTATTCTTTTTTTCAATAAGGTAATAAAAAAAAATAAAACAATTTACCATTTTGACGGCACAGTTCCCTTGTATAGATTCGAAACAGAAAATACGCTTGCAAGATCAACAACAAAAAGCGTATAACAGAAAAGGAATATCAATCAATGATGAATATTTGTTTTTCATTAATTCTGTTTGCAAGAATTGTTTCCGTTCACAAATTGTTTGGTTAAAACAAACAGCTGAAAACAGATAAGAAACTTAAGCTGTAAATACTTTTGGTCTTTGAGGTATCCAGAAATAACACCAAAACCTTTAGCAGAAAAACAATAATTTTCTTCTTAACTAGATTTCTCTAATGTCGCTTGTCTATGATTATAAATTTATCTGACAGAAGATTGTGTAGGCGATATTTAAATAACCAAACTATGAGCAATTCGAGACGAATCAAGAAAAGATAAGTGATCTGAAAAGCAAAACAAACAAAAGCTGAAAAAGGTGTAGGAAGGCACATCCAAACGTAAATCTGTATTTCATTTCTGAGGTTTTACGAGGCTTAGATGTGTTGTTCAAGAGCCTATCAACGTGCTTTCCAATTTGGCATCTTCAAAAATCTTGTCAGTGAACAGTAATAGCATGGAACCTTTAGAAGCATCAGCACCTAATACGTCAGAATTCGATAGTTGAATGCTTTTAGCAATGATAAATCGCTAATGAAAAATAAATGTTGACGAAAGCGGGTTAGTATATCCCAAAGTATGAAAGAGAAAAAAAATAGCCACAATATTTGCCTTTTGATAGAATTTTTTATATTTACATTCTTAATGAGATCCCAAAAAAACCTGAATTTATTCAAAGAAATTAAGATCCTTTGTTATAACGACTTCCGGGAATCTTTCACAATTTCAACACTGTTGTAATCAAAGAAGATTCTTTCCTGCAAATTTGATCCGATATAATCCCAATTTCATTACAGAGATGTGGCACTATTATAAACGTCCAACTTTGGATAGCAAATTTCAATACTGAATACTGCCCTTTAAATATTTTTTTGAGAAAAACTGCAGGTACACTTTGAAACACCTAGCCGAGACAAATCTTTCATGACCAATAATGAACTCAACAGAAATTTGGTTTATGCTGTCAAAA